CGTCAGTAATAGTGCCAGTGTTTACAACTCCCACTGGTAGGCGTCAGTAATAGTGCCAGTGTTTAACCCCATTGGCAGGGTGAACCGGTTCCACAGAAATACATGTCGACATGTGCTAGCGTTTACAGCTCCCACTAGCGGGCGTCAGTAATCATGACTATATCCGAGACCAAAACCATGTAGAATTTACAATCCAAATCCCAAATTCACAAAATAACCAGAATTTCATGTGGGCCTGCTCAATCCTGGAAAACAATGAGATTCCCATTTCAATCCTGCTCAGTTCCAGAAAGCAATAACTTTCATAAAAATCATCACAATTTTCACGTGAGCCTGGATTTAACAGAAACTTAGTATTTACAAAATTCCCAGTTCATCAAAACAGTTCAGCTAATTCAAAACAGGCATGCTCTGCTCAACACACATCAAAACAATTCCATTTCAAACCAATCATGCTCAGTGCAATAAATCAATTTAAAATCACTTTAAACCTCGCCACCATCTCAAAAACAATTAAAACATGCTTTAAAATCGAAGGGCTTTACCATAATTTACTTACCTCAATCGCACCAACAGCACACTAATCCCAAGTGCTAGAGTGCAGAATAATCAAGTACCTAATCAAAATACTTCCCAAAATTAATATCCATCTAAAACAACACATTTAATCCTTTCCCAATTTTACCGGCACTTAATCCCCATTGTACCTTATTTATCTATTCATTTCTCTATTTGAAATCAAGCACAAAATCAATTGTGCACTTATATATTTGCATAATTCACATCAAATTCTCCCATTTACTCACGGCAACACATGGAGAGCATGGTTTGGCAAACCACAACTCACACACACACACACGGGATTTTCTCTCCAAAACATCACAACAGCTTAATTAACAAAATTCCTACATGAATTAAGCAAGAAAATTCATCTCACTTGCTGTCGGAATTCTCCCCTTTTTTTGCAGAAAATCCAGACAGCACAAGAGCAATTCAAGGCAGGAAATTCAAAGATTCAAGGCAACAATCAAATGACAAAACCCAAGCTTATGGAAGCTATCATCTTACCGGAATTTCTAGCAAGCAAAACCAGATCTGGCGGTATGGCAGGGG